TTAACACTAACATGTTGCCATATTTTCAATTGCTCTCTCAAGTCCACAGACATGCGGAGAGCTCCGTTCTTCCCATCATACTCAGCAAGCTTCAACAAGTGTTAGAATGGCCCTTTGTAACTGTGATGCCGAATCATTAGACTAACTCCATGGACTGGATTTGCACCGAATGTCTCGGGATAGACCCCAAGTTCTCTGAGTAAGCCATGTGCATTTGGGGCGATGTGGATGGCGGCGCCGACTTCCTTGGCCAGCTCTGATCTCTCGAGAAGCTGTGATCACAATTATTATACGTTTCTAGTAAATTGTAACCGATTGAATGATCGTGGATACTGACTGTCACTTGATGCCCTTCTTTGCGTAGTCCAAGTGCTGCAGCAAGGCCAGCAATGCCTACACCACATCATCAGTGCGCGCTCAGGGAAACACCACGGCATGTATGGAACATACCTGCCCCGACAATGACAATTTTCAACCCGCGATCGTTGTTGCCCGTCATTTTTATTTTACTTCTTCACCAGGGATTTTTTCGCTATGGCGCTGTGGCGGTCGAGGTAGTTCTGATGACTTATAGAGCAGACAAGATGGCCTACAGAGGGAGCATTTCATGGTTATTTAACGGTATTTAGCCCTCCGGAATCAATACCGTACACGAGGCTCCAGATCATTTCGAAACGCGTGCCACATGCGGTATGCAGTACAACGCTCAAATTACAAGGGTACAATGCATGAGATACCGAGCCGCGACAGCTCGTAAGGTGGGCGCGATGAGTTTCGGGCAGTTCGGGCGGGTGGAGGGCAGAACCCGGTGCATGCCTCCGACGAAAGAAATAACTCAACGGAGTATTTATCCTTTATCGGCTTCTAATTACGAGTTATATATCGAAAGTGATATCTGTTAGATCAGCGGAATTGGATTGGAGGCCCGTTCTTTCACGCACTCCGCCGTAGTTATTCAAACAGCATTCAATCAGCCACAAGCTTCACATCCCGCATCTGCTACGATATTATTCAGCGATAATAATCTGAAATCAGGAGCTTTTCTTGCTTGGGCTTTGCGATCAGTAAGAGCTCGCAACTTACCAAGATGCCGAACCCGATCAAGGATATCCGGGTGGTTGATGAGACAAGCTTCCCATACATTTTTGAGAAGGATGTAACAATCAATCTGCCTCTCAACCAAGGTCTTATTCGCTGTAATATTTACCGTCCGAAGACAGACGCACCGGTTCCGGTACTTGTGACATACGGCCCATATGGAAAGGATATTCACTACGGAGAGTAGGAGCCCACCTTCAACTCCAAGCTTTTGGTGGATCAGGCTAACTTTGGAGCAATAGTTTCCATGCAAAGTCGTACTCTGAAGTGAATCCAGAGCACAAGTCTGCACATTCGGCATGGGAGACACCCGATCCTGGCTTCTGGACCAACCATGGCTACGCTGTGGTTCGTGCAGATGAGCGCGGGCTGGGCCAATCGCCAGGTCTCCTTGACACCATGTCCCGCGGTACAAGCGAGGCATTCTTCAATGTTGTTGAATGGGCTGCTGAGCAAGAGTGGTCTAGTGGGAAGGTTGGCTTGCTGGGAATCAGTTATTATGCTGGTAGCCAATGGAGGGTCGCTGCCCGGAAACCCAAAGGGTTGGCTGCCATAGTCCCATGGGAAGGCATGTCCGACTATTACAGGGACAGATGCAGGCATGGAGGTATTCATTCCAACGGATTCATCAAATTCTGGTGGAATCGGCAGGTCATCAACAACCAGTACGGGCGGCCTGGCAGGAATGCGAGTAATTGGGGCCCTGACACGATCGAGGGAGATCTTCCAGAGGAAGAGCTCTTGACAAGCAGAAATGACCAAACTGTCGACAACCAAGTGAATCGATTTCGAGACGAAGCATACTACGCATCGAAAGAGTACCACATGGGAGACATCGAAGTTCCTCTACTGTCAGTAGGAAACTGGGGCGGAATCCTGCTTCACCTACGGGGAAATATCGAGGGCTTCACACAGGCGGGCTCCAAGTTCAAATACTTGCGAATGATCACAGGGCGTCACGACCTTCCATTCTACTATGCCGAGGAAGTTGAAGTCCAACGTAGCTTCCTTGACGCCTTTTTAAAGGGCGATGACCGAGTGGGTTGGTCACAAGAGGGCAAGGTGCCCCAGGTCAGTCTCGTCCTTCGGAAAGGCGATGTCGGCTTCAACGACGCCGAGAAGGAGAAGGCCTATCCGAGGCGAGAAGAGAATGAATGGCCCATTGGACGTACGCAGTACACAAAATTCTTTCTTTCACCTGACCAAGGCCTGTCGACAGAACCCCCAACGGCTGTTGGCGCATTAGGGTACAAGGCGCTCGGCACTATAAAGGAACCACAACTCATTCAATTCACCACTGACCCATTCAAAGTGGAAACTGAGATCACAGGACATGTACTAGCACACCTCAATGTTTCTGTAACACCAGACCCGGATGGCCCAACTCCGAGTGACATTGATCTCTTCGTCACTCTCCGACACATCTCCCCTGACGGAAAAGAGGTATTCTATACCGGGACAGCTGGTGATCCAGTTCCGCTGACGAAAGGTTGGCTGAGAGTCTCACTGAGAAAGGTGAACAAAGAGCACCCCAAGCACCGGGACTGGCTTCCACACCGCGACTATACGAGTGCAGATGTCTTGCCGGTCATTCAGGGAGAGGTTTATGCGGTAGATGTAGAGATCTGGCCCACGAATGTGATTGTTGAAAAAGGCGGCAAGATTGTTCTAGAGGTTTCTTCAGGCGACACCCAGGGATCCGGAATTTTCACCCACGATGATCCTGTTGATCGGTGAGTTCACACTGCTCACGGAAACCCCCACGAGCGTTGCTAATTCGGTGAATCTAGGTCCCCAGAGAAGTTTCAAGGAACAAACCGTATCCATTTCAGTCCGCAATTTGAGAACTTTGTGACGCTGCCTATTATACCACCTAAATTCATATAGAGAGTACGCATTGAGCTATAGTTTGACACAATTGAACTTTTAACTTTATAAAGTCTTGTGAATCTTTATTTATGAACCCGCAAGAGTTGACCATGTCATTATGGTATCACTGTTCAGTGTTCCAACCTAATCGCTGACGATTGTAGTAGGCATAAGAGGCTTGTAGCATCTCAAGTATAAGTTTTCCTTATAGCGAGCAGGATGAACTCCAACGAAATCCTATATTCTGATATTTACATAGCTCCGCTCAAACACTAACTGCTGGCGTCTTTGCCCAGCGTCCGAATGTAAACTGGCTATTACACATATTGGTCAACTCCCATGTCTCGGCCTTTAACTCTCCGTGCACGCCTTCATCCTCCTCATCTCCAACTGCGCCGGCAATAAACATAGATGCCATGAAATGATCGTCGGTTGGGTGAGCGTCTCGATAGAGCGGGTTTTTCATGAGCCGGGTCACTGCACGACGCAACTGCGGTCCCGAGTTTTTGGTCACAACATCCTCGAAAGCCTGACGAAACTCCAAAGCCCAGTATTCGGGAGGCACCTCTTGAGCGAAGTTGTCAGCGTATCTCAACATGGATCCCCAATGGTTTCTGTAAAGGTTATGAACAGAGCCACCCGAACCAATGATGAGATAGCCCTCACTACGCAGAGAACGTAATGTCTGGCCGACCTTGACGTGATAATGGGGATCAAATCGGGCATTCATAGAGATGAGCGTTGTGGGTGGGCAGTGATCTGGGAACATGCGGATGAGGATTAGATAGGTGTCATGAATCCAATCGAATGTTGGATTGCCCGACACCTTGAACCCAGCCTTGGCAAGCATCGAAACACAGCGCTGAGCCGTCTCAACGTCAGGATTGAGTTTGTAGTCGACGTATTTGGAGGGGTGAACATAGGCGACTGGCGATTTACCAGGGCTAGGATTGGTTGCAACCTCAATTCTGTCATGAGAGGCGTCCCAATGCGCACCCTAAGACAATCATTAGAACGGGACTGAAGGTGAAGTACGGCTCGTTGTATTATCCTACCATCATAATGACACCCTTGATATTGTTGGCTAGGGCTTCGTCCCCTGCCTTCTTCCAGTATGTTGCAGCATCTGACTCTTCACCCAACATCATGGTAGATCCATGAGAGAATAGGTGGACCGGAGTCAACGAGGATGTGAGAGTGGTACGTGCCATGATGGAGAGACGGTATCTACGTTACCCCGAGGCCGGTGGACAGTTTGGGGCACGAGCGGACCTTGTGCATTATACTGCAGGTTTTGCTTATAGAATGACGATGTTGTTAGGTTCGGCTCGGGAAGTGGAGGAGGTTGCCCGAGCGGAGTTGCGGAAAGGGGGGGGAGATGGGTTACGCGAAGGTACAAGGAAGTCGGCACATTTGAACAGTCTTTCAAATCCAATCCACCCTGAAGAAAACTGGAGAGATGCTCTTTACTCTAGTACAAGGGCGCACAGCCATTCCCATTGTGATGGGAGTCAGTCTCGTGGACGAACACGCCCTCTAAAATGACATGGACATCCATTGTAAATACCTGTAACTTCACTGGCTGTTAGCGCATAATCGCGCTATTTAAGCGGCGATCTAAGTACCTTACCCCCTGTACTGCCCCAGCTTCCCCGCAAATCCCCCGAGATGCTCCTCAAACTTGCATCTTGCATCTCGCCACCTTCGTCCGTCTCAGTTCATTTGATCACCCTGTCTGCCCACATTGTCCAGATGTTCCGATCCATGACTTTGCAGTCTTCATTTTTCGCCCTCCACTTTCCGTGCCCTGCGCTGAGGCCTGTTTGACCGATACCTGAAGACACAATGCCACCCACTCGAGGCAATGGGCTGTTTCAATGCGGCTCTTGCCAGCGCCAGTACAAGCGACCGGACCATCTGACTCGCCATGTTCGCTCTCGTGAGTACTGTAGTCTGCATTAATTATCAACTAATTGATCTAATATGACCCTCTGCGCGTACGAATAAAAGCATCCGGCCGCTGACACATCAAAATGCAAATTACAGATCTTGATTCAAAGCCGCACCAGTGTCACCTGTGCCAGAAAGCATTTACTCGGATGTTAGTAAAAGCATATCAAATCGCATTATGGCATACCTCATCTAACATTCTCTCTGCTTGTATCCAGTGATCTTCTGAAAAGACATATCGCCGCACATGAAGCTAAAGGGGACCACCTCAACCCATCCCTCTCAGAAGGCAGCTCAGGTTCTTTGAGCCGAGTATCACAAGCGTGCCAGTCCTGCGCTACAAACCACCTCCGATGTACCGAGACGAAGCCGTGTCGTCGTTGTGTATCCAAAGGCATCGAGTGTGTTAGTAGTCGTCCCCTTGATGCCGAGAACGCGTTCACACCCCCGGAGACTGTACCCCAACAGAGCATGACATCCCCAAATGTATCGTTACAGGATACGAGTGACAATGCCTTAAATACCACGCCCTATCAGGAGAATAGCCTCCAAGAAGATCTACTCTCGGACCTTGATGTTACCCAAGCAATCGGTAAGCAATAGATTTATCTGTGGAGCGAGGAAAGAAATTCGATTGAACTTGTCTAATTTTGAATATCAGCGAATGACTTCATCGAAGTCCGATCATTTCCTAAGCACCCAGACATGTTGTTTGCGTCTGGAACCAGCACTCCGTTCGGACCTTTCAGCTTCGACCCAGATATGAGTATGGAATTGGATGACATCGACCTTAGATTTCTGGATTCTTATAATGTTAATATCCCCTTCGGTGCCGACGAGTATACGCCAACCCCTTCCAACATCTTGTCAATGGGTGAGGGCGTGGGCTCCACCCCAAAGAGTATATGCACAGACGCCTATCGGACTTCGCACTGGAGCTTTCGGCCTGGGGCCAACGATCATGGGGGAGCAGAGGAGGAGAACTTGACTCTCACTGACGACGGCCACAATCCGCCTGAAAAGCGAGTCCCTGTTGAGACAAGAATTACCTCGGCAAGCCTGGCTACAGCCGGACGGGATAAACTGATAACGACGATTATGAGGAGCTGCAGGACAGACAGCCTTTTCAAAGCAGCAGCATCCTTCCCATCCATAAATCTCCTCGACTCACTCTTGCAGTTTTATCTCTCTTCGCCTTCGTCTGAAGCAAGATACTTTCTCCATGCGCCCACCTTTGACCCAAATAAGAAGCGATCCGAATTGATCATGGCCATGGTAGCCCATGGTGCTGTATTAACACTGGACCCAACATTTCTAAAATTGGGGTTTGCTATGCAAGAGGCAGCGAGGGTCGCTATACCCACACTGGTGAGTCTCTCCTACAAATGAACCATTATGTGAGTTCTCGCTAACTAGAATCTCTCTCTCTCTCAAGTGGGAGGGCAAAAATGCATTGATTCGTGACCTGCAACTGACTCAGGCGTTCTATATTACTTTGGAAATTGGCCTGTGGAGTGGGCACAGTCGTAAAGTCGAAATAGCAGAGAGCTTTCTTCAACCATTGTTGACTATGCTTCGGCGAGGGGGAGGTTCAAGAATTCTTCTTATCCTGATATCTCTCTAAGTCGGAATACAAGGGGACAAGAGCTTGAGGAGACCTGGAACAAATGGGTCGAGCAGGAATCATTCAAGCGCATTTGTTTCCGGGTTCTGCGGCACGACAGTAATTCCTCAGCGAGCCTCCTCACCAACCCTCTGATTTCCTACGCCGAATTGAAGTTGCCTCTCCCCGCATCGGACAAGCTGTGGTCTGCTCCAACAGCCGAGCGGTGGAAGGAGGTCTTTCTGGCTGAAATACTTGAATCACCGCCGGCTATCGGCGCCTACCTTGAGGATCCGAGGCTCTTCGCCACCATTGGCAACAGGAACGATCTATTGAGCAGAAGCCACGCCTTTCTATCCTGTATATGGAGCATGGCGTGGGAGTACATCCAGTTGAACTCCATGCAACGCACTGCCCCTGGTCGGTGGAGCGGCATCGTTCTCAAGTCCCGTCAGGACGAACTGCTGAAGCTTCTTGAGCACTTCCGGCTGAGCACAGAGCCCGGTGTGGCATTCGCCCCAGATGTGACGATGCGCACTGAGCAGATCCTTTTGCATCTGTACATATCCATCGAAGACGTCCAGGTCTTTGCTGGCATCGAGGGTCCGGAACGGTCCTCTGCCATTTATCCCATCATTCAGGACTGGGCCAAGGGTGAATCAGCACGCAGGGCGGTTTGGCATGCGGGCCAGATCTTGCGAGCAGCCCGGCTGATACCGAAAGAGCAGATCCGGGATTCGCTGGCTATCATGATGTATCACGCCAGCCTCGCCCTTTGGGTATATGGGGTTGCTTGTGAGGATCATCCAAGAGACACGCTTCGCGCACCGAGATCCAGCTCAGGGAGGGAGGTACTGTTAGATGGTACTGATGGCGTTCATGTGCAGCGATTCATGCAGCTCGGCAATGGGGTACCATGCATCCAAATCCCGTCCGCAGATACTACGGCATATGCTTCATCTAGTTCCAGCGTCCCATTGGCATGCCATGAGATGGTCATGGATACCGTGGTGGCCTACTTGCATGCGAATTACCCGGGTGAGGGGAGGCCACTCCTGGTAGAGGAAATCATACAGATCATGGTAGGACTACGCAACTCGGATAAGACGCTTGTGGATCGGTCCCTTGCATGAATAATATCTATGACATATGCTGGACAATCATATCTACTGTGTGATTATGCATCTTTTATTGGCGAGAATTCCTTTTACTATAGACCTTGCCCCATGCCATGCCATGAACCACCCAGGCTGGGATTTCTACGTACATCAGTTTTAACATTAAGCCAGATAAGGCATCCATCGCGAATAAATTTACATAAAGATACTAGCAATTGAGAAATATCATCATTTAGCCCCCGGACGAGCTATCCGAGAACCGAGGTCATGTTTCTCGGATGGCCCGCCATGGGATCCGGTGTCGTTCTTCCTCAATTCATCGACCTAGCAGCTCCACTGGGGCATGCATGTACTCCACTGATATTGCAGTTGTCTGTATGTTGATCTCGGCGTCTCCATGGGTGGGCTGCACAGGGATGGATAGTCGTACCACGTTTCGAGTCTGACATCTCGTAATCCTCCGGCATCACCAGGTATCGCCGTATCACTGGTCTGCTAAGCATGCTGCCAGCCTTGAACAACGACCGTAATACAAATGTGACAAACTAGAGGATATCGAATTATTCATAAATTGAATTCCAGTAGCCAATCACTCAAAATGGGCTGAGTTCCCCAGACCCGAGACAGAATTCTGACAGGCGGCCTCTAATAATCCATGTCCTTCAGCTGCTCCTACCCCGCATTCGACATGGTTTAGTATCAGCTCTTTGGCCTTATTGGAGACGTCATGTGCTTTCTGATTCACTGTGTCACTTGCCGCTTATCAGTGACGGCCGGCAACCCAGTCGATGGCATGCCACCTTCCTATCTCTATCAGGTGATGGGAGGTCCTCTAAACGATGATAATCAACCCGTTCTTGTTTCTAGGCGCGATAAGAGATCCTCGTCAGTGGCAGAGAGAGAAGAACAGTGGCATGTGTAGAAACTATTCGGTAATATGCCTGTCAGTGCCGAAGTGCAGTGTCTAGCATCCATGTCTCGTCCCACTCCCCGGCTCTGCACTGCACTTTATATTTGAAAGGCAAGACACGGGATACTCGTTGATGTAACCCTCCCTTCTAGAATCCAGAAAGTAATTCTACCGCCTTTTCCACAGGGCTCCAGCTCGAACATTTTTATATCACCCCTCATCCTCGTCCTTTTCCATCGCCAAGTCCAAAGCATTGGCAAAGTCTGGGCAAACACTTGGCATACAGCACCCAACAAATCGGAAAGCACAAGATCTCGGATCTCTCCGAAATTTCTTTTTTAGCAATGGCTAAACCAGAAGATGGCGACCACGAAAAGAGCGAGACCCCCGTCGTCGACGCTCCAGAGGTTGGAGAGACGGCCGACATCCGCACCGAGACGAGGCGAAACATCAAGTCACGACATGCGCAGATGATCGCCATCGGAGGGACCATTGGGACAGGTCTCTTCGTCGGCTCCGGGCAGGCCCTCGCGCGGGCGGGTCCCGCCAATCTGTTCATCGGCTACATCATCATCTGCTGCTTCGTCTATGGCATTGTCACTGCGACGGCCGAGGTGAGCTCGTATCTGCCCATCCCGGGGAGCTCCATGGCCTACTACGGGACGAGATTCGCGTCCTCGAGCCTGGGTTTCGCCATGGGATGGCTGTACTGGTACTCCTTTGGCATCCTGGTCGCATACGAGATCACCGCCGCTGCTCTTGTCATAAGCTACTGGCCGAACAGCGTACATATTGCCGTGTGGATCACGATCATGCTGGTTGTCATTATCGCACTGAACGTCGCGCCGGTAGGTGTCTACGCCGAATCCGAGTTTTGGTTCGCTTCAATCAAGGTCTTCATGATTATTGGCTTGCTCCTCTTTGCATTTGCGCTCTGGGCGGGCAACGTCAACGGCAATGGGCGGCTGCTCTTCAAATATTGGAAAGATCCAGGCGCCTTTAATGAATATCTCGTCACGGGAGACACGGGACGATTCTGCGCGTTTGTGTACTCCATGGTGTTCTCTGTTTTCTCCTTCAACTTCGGTCCTGAATTGATCGTCTTGACGGGTGGTGAGATGAAGTCTCCCCGAAAGAATCTTCCTCGGGCGGCCAAGACATTTATCTGGCGCCTCTTTTTCGTAGGTTTGACCTCTCAGATCTTTAAAAATTACACCAAGCTTTACCGAGTGGCACAATAGACTAACAAACCACAGTTCTACGTCGTCGGCTCCCTGGCTATCGGCATCATCTGTCGCAGCAACGCACCTGGTCTCACTGATGGAAGCACCGGAGCTGCCGCTTCACCGTGGGTTATTGCAATCAAGGAGGCGGGAGTAAGTGGCCTCGACAGTGTGGTAAATGCCGGCATCATCACCTCGGCGTGGTCCTCAGGCAACTCCTACTTGTATATGTCAAGCCGATCCCTCTACTCCTTAGCCAAGGCCGGCAACGCTCCGGCCATTTTCAAGCGGACCAACCGATGGGGTGTTCCAGTTTATGCTCTCTGCGCCAGTATCACCTTCAGCTTCCTGGCCTATCTCAACGTCAGCAAGGGCGCAACCGTGGTGTTCAACTGGTTCATTAATCTCACCAACACGGCGGCCTTCACCTCTTGGGTATCCTGCAGCATCATCTTGCTCAGATTCCGCAAAGCTTGCAAAGCCCAGGGCGTCACTGACCTGCCATTCCGCTCCCGCCTGCAGCCGTATGCTGCGTACGCGACCATCTTCTTCTTTTCTCTCTTACTCCTGCTTAATGGCTTTTCGGTCTTCTTCCCCGGAAAGTGGTCCGTGGCCGACTTCTTGACTGCCTACATTGGGTTCCCCATCTTCCTCGTCATTTACCTTGCCCACCGCATCTATGAATGGAATGCGCCGTGGCTTATAGCCCCAAAGGATGTAGATTTGACCACCGATTTGGACTCTATCCTAGCTCTGGAGGTCCAAGCAGATGAAGAGGCGTCCAAGGAAGCGACAGGGTTCAAGAAGTATCTCAAGAAAGCGAGATTGCTGATTGCGTAATGTTGGTCGTTAGATCTCCTGGAGAAATCCATATATATTATTGTGTTAGGGGAAAAACCGCACAACAGCACGGCTACTTGCGAACTTAAAATGCAGACTACTAACCACACAAGAATCAAATAACCTTCCACAATAGCTATAAAAAGGAGGTTTTAGGTTTTATGTGTATTCTCATTTGATTAAATAGTTCACGCTTGTGGCTAGTTAATTATCCTATCCTAGCTGTAACGCTGCTGAAAGATATATCTTTTATAGGAGAGGTTTTTTTACAAGTAAAAATAAGAAGAGGTGAAAAGGATATCTTTTTCTACGGTTGATGAAAATAGCTAATTTATCTAACGTGGCCAAAATAGCAATTGGGCCCCGACTCATTATCAGCTAGTTTGAGAGATCGTTGACAAAGTTTCAGCTCAACCTTCATTCTCCGTGTTCTGGGTTTTCAGAACGAGATAGAGAAAAGGCTCACTGAACAGTTTTATATGAATATTCTTCTCCTTTTACGCAACATACACACATAGTTGCTATTCAGTACATGAGAATATACAGGTTTCCTAGATTGTGGTTATGCTTAACTCTATACTAGAGTTTAAGGTACGACCATCTTAGTTCCTAAAGACATCTTGAATTTAACAAGAGAGGCTTAGCTTATGCAAGATTATCCTACTCTGCATGTTGAAAGCAGAATACTTATTTAACTCACTTGAAACCTTGCTCTAGTTGTTCGTAGAATAATATGAAGAAGGAAGAGCACTTCTCTTCTTACTACAAATCGTAAAGAAGGTTTGACTGGATGCTGTTACTAGGACTTCTTTTGCTTCTACTCGAAGAAGCAAGATTAGCAGAGAGTTTTATGAATCCATATCCTACCAGCTGTGAGGTATAGAGGTTCACACTCTGATCCTTTACCGCGTCCATAGACTAGCTAAGAATTAAAGCTAGACTTGCCATGCCGTTACTTAAATTTTTTAAATGAGGGGATTTCAGCCCCAAGTATTCTATAAACTTTCACGTAAGAGACGTTTTACGCTATTGTTACCATTGTGTTGAATCAAGGTGATGGCCTCTAAGCTGTATATAATTCTAGTGCCTCTGCAGTTTCTATAGACACCGAAAGAAGAAAGGAGCACTGTGGTAGCAATCTCATTATTAAGGACCAACTACCTCTCTTTAGCGTACGAAGTAGTGGATGAGGGCAGTTGAAAAGGATATGCCCTATACTACGGCTAAGCTGACTCGATACTTGCGATAGAATTTAACAGATGCAGTAGGCAACCCAAGAATATACAGATATTGCTTCTCTTCGAAATAGCCATACATATGAATACTCCGTGCTTGTATCGTAGTACATCTTTTATTAGTCTAGGCCGTAGCCTGTTCTTGAGTCGTGTGTTCTCTTAGCTCTACCGATTCATCCCCACTTATATAAGCTGGTTGCATTAGCTCGGGCTAGGGGGAAAAGGAATGATTGAGGGAAATGCAGGTCAGTAAGCGGGTTGCATATTTAGTCATGGCGTGTTGCTCACCGAAGAGGATGCACTTGAACATCATCTCTGCCGACACCGATCACTACCATGACGCCTCATCGCTCCGCGAATCCTGGTATCTTACTTATCCCACTTAATCAGATGCCGCATCAGGTCCTCACTTCTAATCAAAGAGAGGACTGGGCTGGTGTCGTCGACCAAAAACAGCGCAAAAGATTGCAAAATATGCTGAACCAGCGCGCATGTGAGTTAACGCATTAAATCTGACCACCACTCACTCTAACCCCTGATGATATATGTAGATCGTGAAAGGAGGAGGAATCACACTGTTAACGCAGCGGTACTTATCCCTACCGAATCCGTTTTGGAAACATCCAGGCAGGACGCCGATCGGAAACGGGTCATGTTAGAGGCTTTTTCCAAGCAGGCTCTAGAGAGTTACAACGCCGGCCAGCCGCAAGCGGATCAACTCCTGGGGTTGCTTCAGCTGAATTTTATACGTAGCCTAACAAGCAATGCATCGTTGCTAGGGCTCAGAGTGGACTGGCTTAACTGTAACTCTCTATCACACATCGGGCTCATTGGCCCGACAAACCCCTACGCAGACGAGTTTTCCTACCTCCCCGAAACTCTCATACCTACTAGCATCCAGTCACGTACACCCCATCATCCATGGATAGACCTCTTTCCATTTCCAAGGATGCGTGACAACCTTCTGATTGCTGCAGAGGGCATGTCTGAGGAGGAGGAGATACGACTCTGGAATGACATTGTCGAGAATAACACCACGTCTAGTGGTGATTGGACTGGTCTAATTGTATGGGGAGACCCCTGGAATCCTTGGAACTGGGAAGTTACTGAAGCCTTTACACGGAATTGGGGATGGCTTCTGAAAGGATGTTCTGAAGTTATTCATTCAAGTAACCACTGGCGCCTTTCTCGAGGGGACGTGGCGTTGACATTTGATCCGATCAACCCGGCGTAATGCAGGAGAGGAACGAATTCTCAATATTGGAGACCTGATGCTTCCAGCCTATTACTTGGTCCCACAAGTACACGGTCCGACTTATGAGCTGGTGGATGCTTGTCAGCTGGTTGCATTAGCTTTCCCCAAACTCGTCATGGGTTAAAACACAACGGGTATTTAAACAACACCTGCCTAGCAGCGGCTGGATGTGCCACATTTTGTTGCAAATTAACCACTACTTTATTATGGAGGGCAAAGTCTTCATCGTTACTGGAGGTGCGTCTGGCATCGGGCTTGCCACGGTGAAGCTACTCCTGGACAAAGGAGCTTCCGTCAGCGTTGGCGATGTCAACGCAGATGCTCTCGATCACGCCTTTTCGTCTCATGGGGGAATCTACGGAGAAAGATTACATTACGAGGTGTTGGACGTCACCAAGCGAAACGATGTTAATTCTTTCATAACTATGACGAAACGGAAGTTTAAGCGTTTGGATGGATATGCCAATGTTGCAGGAACAGGAGGCCACTTCCTTGGCCATGAGCCTGTTTCGGATACAACTGACCAAGAATACGATTTCATCATGGACTTGAACGTTCGCGCGACATTCATTGCTGTTGGTGAAGTTCTCAGACAGGGTGTCATGCCTGAGGAGGGCGGCAGCTTGGTGTGTGTGGGAAGCATGTTTGGTCGCCGGGGGTTCAAGAATGGAGCTGTGTTTTCTGCATCAAAACATGCCATGACAGGACTCGTCAAGAGTGCAGCTCTGGAAGCTGGCCAAAGAGGAGTGCGAATTAATGTTATTGAACCGTACGTACCAGAGAGAATGATGTTGGACTTACCCATGAACGAGATCTAACCAGGTCATCTAAACAGTGGCGCCATTGACACTCCAATGCATCGAAAGAACATGGAGAGAGACATGCCCGATCTTACACCCAACAATCCGATACCAAGATTGGGGACTCCGGAGGATGTGGCGAGCGTCATTGCATTCTTGTTGGGTGATGAGTCTAAATATGTTACAGGGGCGCAATACGCTGTTGACGGGGGCGCAAATGCATGATGTTCTTGAAAACACGGGAAATTCTCCCCAGATGGTTTGGTTCTACACGTATGCTTGAGTTTATATAAGACAAAAAATTACATAATAGGCAAAGGCAGAACTGGCCAGCTCAAAAAAAGTTTGACATTGATCACATGTCGTCGTTTTTGCCCTTATTAGTCTTGTGGAGTTTAAGCTCAGGAGCAACAAGAAAGCATTATTACGAAAAAGCACCACAACACCATCGCAGGTAAAGGCCTTTGTCTCCTCCTTTGTCCTGCAGCTAGTAATATACTACTAGTAAGAAATAAAATTCCAAGGAATTGAAATCAAGGAGTGAATTGTGTACGATAAGTGAGTGCATTTCGGAAGGGCTTCCGGTCTCCTCGATGGCCGGATCATACCCGAGAATTGGCGCCCGACGTCGGACACAACTCCACAGAGTCCAGCATCTAAAAGCAATGCCAGCCACATGAGATCTGTCTATCCCCTGTCCCAAATATTGATATTCATCTTTATCAGATATTCAAAGTCATCAAAATGGGTTCTGAAGCACAAAATTCAAAGTCCACCTTCTTCACTGGTGCACAACGCATCCCTCCCGATCGTATCTTCGAGCTCACAGCCGAATATCTCAAAGATGAATCCCCTGTGAAGGCCAATCTTGGCCAGGGAGCCTATCGTGATGGCGATGGAAACCCGTGGATTCTGCCATCAGTTCGAGAATCGCGCAGATTGTTGCAAGAGCAAGGGCTGATTCACGAGTACCTACCAATTCTGGGCCATGCGGGTTTCAGAGAAGCCGTAGCACGTACAGTTTTGGGCGAGGAGCTCTTCTCCACCAAGGGTTCGCATGTTAGTATATTACTGTCAAAGACCCAGAGCCTTATTGATGCTGATTGCGTGATATACAGGTGGCCACATGCCAGAGTCTTTCGGGAACAGGTGCTTTGCATTTAGCCGGCAAGCTCATCGCCCGCACAAACTCGCCGAAGCCCAAGGTGATTATCACAGACCCCCCTTATGGTAACCACTTCCAGGTTATCAAGGACGTTGGGTTGGAGTACGAAACATTCAACTACTACGATGCTGTCACCAAATCAGTCGACATGGCATCATACAGGAATATGCTACAGACCGTGCCACCAGGCTCAGTCATTCTACTCCATGCCTGCGCTCATAATCCAACAGGATGTGACCCTAGCAAGGACGAGTGGCGTGAAATTGGTCAGATCATGAAGAGCAGGAATCTATTCCCCATCTTCGACGCCGCATACCTTGGTTTCAATTCTGGTTCGGTCGATGAAGATGCTTTCTCAATCCGTCATTTCATCGGCGAGCTCAACCTGGAGGCCGCAATTTGTGTATCTTACGCAAAGTCTATGGGTCTATACGGTGAGCGAGTTGGTGCCGTGCTAGTCCATGCAGCCTCCAAGGATCTCGCACTCGACTGCCAGTCGATGCTAGAGCAAATACAGCGATCACAAGTATCCAACCCTCCAGCTTTCGGTGCTAAAACTGCACATCTTATTCTTACAGACGAGAAACTCAAAAAGCAGTGGTCTGAGGACCTCCTGACAATGAGTGGTCGCATTCGCACCATGAGACAAAAGCTCTATGATGCATTGCGCGAGGAGGGTGAGAACAAGCTTCTTCGCCTTGTTAAATGTTGACTAAAACCACTGACTTATTTTTAGGCGCACCTGGCACATGGGAACATCTTATCAACCAGACAGGCATGTTCGGTTTCCTGGGTCTCTCATCTCAAGTAGTCGTAGAGCTAAGGGGTGAGTTCATTGACGTTGAAGAAGCTTTCAGAAACAGAAGAGATGCTAACAAAGGTTGCTAGAAAAATATCACATCTACATGGCCGACAACTCCCGCATTTCAGTGGCGGGTCTGAACGATAGCAACGTGAAGTATGTTGCGGCTTCCATCGCGGCTTCTGTCCGAGAGGAGCAGGGACAAAAGTAGCAAAATTGTTAAATAGATAACCCAATGCAAGCTACCATGATGCCCACGCTCGCGCATGGGTAATGCCCAACACGAAACCAGTGCCCTCTTATCCTATGAAGCTATCGATCAAGGGCTAGAAAACTAGACTAAATGGAAATTTTTTAGACGAACCGATCGAAAGTAGGTGTATTTCGTAGATCAATATAAGAGGTGAAGCCAAAATATAAGGGAGGGTTAAGAAGTCACCAATCGTCGTGATAAATAGTCCCCACCATTATCTTCAAACTAGAACTGAATTTGGTGTTGACTACGGAATCTCTTCCGATAAAGGCGAGACTAACGGTAGTACAAGCCAAACCCCGCAAATGGATGCTGTTATCAAGATCGATCAGCCTCCGCTCCTCGGCCAATTTCTACTGAAAGCCATTTCGACTTTGGAATAGACAAGCTGGTGAAGAAGTAATAATGGCTGCAAAAATGCGGTGGCAGAAAATCGGGGCGTCGCAAAGAGTTGAGACCGGGTGGTGGCATTCGATCCCGAATTTCAGCAGAGTCAACCGCGCTTCAAACTCGTTCATCTATACCAACAAACCTCAGGTTCGATTCACGGCAACGGGTGGGAAGGCTGTTTCAGCCAACAAATTGCCTCCCCATGCGCTACTCCCCAACTTGATGCTATGGCGATCACTGCTCATTGCAACTGTCTCCACTCATCGATTTCTTCTCCGTCCAGCTTTATCGATCCTATCTTTCTTCTCAACGCCTAGAAAGGGACTTTTGAGTTTACAAGACAATCCTCTGCTTCGGAAGATATTCAAAGGGACTCTTTACAATCACTTTTGCGCTGGAGAGAATTCTCAAGAAGTCAAGGCTACGATAAACAGCATTAAGCACATGGGTTTCAGAGGTGTGATTCTTACATATGCAGCTGAAGTCGTGGTCGATAAAACATCTGAGGAAGATATTGGAGACGGTGCAGTTCAGTCCAAAGATGAGTCTACCCCAGGTGCTCTGCGAGAACACCCACAAGATCAAGCCATTGAAGAGTGGCGAAAAGGTGTCCTAAAGACAGTGGAGATGATTGGCGAGGGTGACTACCTGGCTCTGAAGTAAGTGACTCCAATCCCCTTCGCAACTTCAAGTGCTGAGTATGACATAGATTCACTGGGGCCGGCCCTGCGGTATCCAGTGCTCTCGAGACACAGAAGCCCATCCCTGGGCAAATGTTCAAAGCTCTTGAAGACGTGTGCAACGAAGCAGTAAACCGAAAAGCTCGGATCCTAGTGGACGCAGAGCAACATTTTGTCCAGACAGGAATCGACCTTGTTGCCATGGAACTTATGCAGAAATATAACCGTAACGGCCAAGCAATAGTGTTCAACACGTATCAGGCATATCTAAAGCGCACACCGCAAGTGCTGCAGAAACATCTCAAGGAGGCCCAAAAAGGAGACTTTGTTCTTGGGATCAAACTTGTTCGAGGGGCTTACATTAACTCGGAGCCTCGCCATTTGATCAATGACACCAAAGAGGAAACCGACATCTCATACGATAGCATTGCGCACAAATTGCTTCATGGGCAGTACCCACTAGAGGAGCATGTCGATGAGCCACTACCAAGATCGGAACTGTTTCTTGCCACACACAACCGTGCGAGTGTATTAAAGGCGTACGAATTGCAACAGGCGCACGAGAAAGAAGGCTTGCCACTGACCAAAGTACAATACGGACAGCTACTCGGAATGGCAGATGGTGTGAGCTGTGCCCTGTTGCAACTCAAACAGGAGGCTGTTAATAACGGTAGCGCCATCCCCCCTGAGGCCTACAAGTGCCTCAGCTGGGGCACTTTAGAAGAGTGTATCTCATACTTGTTGCGCCGTGCTGTGGAAAATAGAGATGCTGTCACGAGAACGGAGGAGGAATACTATGCCTTGAAGAAAGAAGCTATGAGGCGACTTCTCAGAAAGTCTTCTTAACATATAGTTTCCAGCATCTATCATATTAATATAATCCAGACTATAAATTTAGATCATTGCTTTTCCAGCAAGGGGATGTTCCGCTAATCATATGGCGCTTGAAATGAATATGCGATCAACAGTATTTCCTACACAACGAGCTGTAAGACGAAAGGACTCAGAAGTTAGTGCAAAGATAAGCCCTCCACACTCCACTCGAACTATTTTCTACTGTGTCTGTTTTTTCTCATTTACTCCAGTTATGTTCTTTGGATCTCCCGCCAAGAAGTGGAGGATGTGGAGGCTCGCTCGGCTGCTCGGATCGAAGCCGAGGAGTGTAGGCCACAGTTCACTTCAAGACAGCTATGCCTTACCTCGCCTGCTCTAGATATTACCATCATATAATAAAAGAGTATCTCAGGTTATGGCTTATGATTTCCAGTCATCTGCAAGGCACGAGATACCAATAACAAAATCAAAACCAGCTCTAAAAATGACCTCTCAGCCAACACCACCATTCGGAGTGTACACTCCAGTGGTCTGTTTTTTCAATGACGACGAATCTATCAATTTCGACGCAGTCACACAGCACATCCAGCGCCTCCTATCATCTGGAGTTGCAGGGCTTGTTATCCATGGCAGCAACGGAGAGGCCACCCATCTTTTCCCCGAAGAAAAGATTGAAGTAATCCGACACGCTCGTAAACTCATCACAGAGGCCAAGAGCAACGCTGTCATCATAAGCGGGTGCAGCGCAAACAGCGCTCGGGAGACGATCCGCAATATCGAGACAGCGAAGGAAGCAGGAGCCGACTTCGCTCTAGTACTTCCTCCCAGCTACTGGGCAGCCGCAATGTCCAAGCCAGTTATCAAGACGTTTTATCTTGAGGTGAGCTCTCAAAGAAGATATCAATGCATTATGACCAGAATCCTAACAGAGTGTATAGGTCGCCAGCAAATCTGCCTTGCCTCTCATCATCTACAATTTCCCCGGTGTAGCGAGCGGAATTGATATCGACTCCGATTTAATCATCGATCTAGCCCAGCAGTCACCAAAAGTCGTGGGCGTGAAGCTCACATGCGGCAACCTTGGCAAGCTACAGCGTGTTTCTGCCACACTTCCCAGCACCCAATTTGCTCCATTTGCAGGCAAGGCGGACTTTATGCTGCCGGGGCTCGTCGCTGGCTCAAACGGTGTCATCTCGGCGCTTGCCAACGTCGTACCCAAGGTTCACGGAGAGGTCATCAGGCTGTATCAGGCGGGAGAGCTTGAGAAGGCACGTGCGATCCAAGCCGACCTTTCAAAGGCGGACTGGGAATTAGTCAAGTTTGGAATTTCGGGCGTAAAGACCGCCTGTCTGCACTGGTTCGGGTATGGAAGTGGAAAAGCCAGAGTGCCCTTGCCAACAGTCAACGCAGAGACCTTCGCTTCCGCAAATGTTTCGGCGTTGGACACCGTTGTGCAACTAGAGAAACAGCTTTAAGTAATACATATCCTGGGTATCAATACCAAAGAAACAAAATTCAATAATGTCTTAGTCTCTAAGATGGAACATTTTTCCAACCTCCGCCCAGTCCACCTCGTCAATGCCTGTCAGGGGTAAGGCAGGATCATTGAAACTGGAGTAGATATCGCCCATCTCATGGCTGAGATCGATCTGAAAATCATCAAATTGATCAAAGTTGAGCAGGGCGGCGTCCGATTCTCCTGTTGGGGTCATCTGATTCCACGTTGTCCACATTCCAGGCCCAAGAGAAGTTCCGGCTGCTGGGTCACTGTTGTTGTTTGGATTTGAGGGTGTGGTATCGCTTGCGCTTCCAGGGTCTCCCACGGGGTTCGACACGCTTACTCTTGTTGCCTTCTCCTCCCTAAGCCATTTCCACTCTCCGGATAGCTTTTCAGGAGTCCAGACATGAAGGCAGAACTGCCTAAGCTCGTTTAACCTCCGTTCGGCGGCCTTGTTTCCTGCTTTGCCCAAATACTTTAGGATCATGGCAGATTGGCTCAGTCCCTCTGGTGGTCGTGACTCTTCATATCCCTCTACCAGACCCATCATGGCCAGAATGAAAGCGGCTGAAAATGTTGCATCCAAATCAAAGTATCCAAATAGAGCTTAGACAATAATCAGTTCCAGGTTTCGATAGCATAGGGCAAATCACGTACCAATACTTCTGTCTTCTCTTAGCTTGGACAGAATCCGAATGCTTTTACTTGCAGCTTCTCTACAAGAAGAGCACAGCCTACTAATGATGGGTGATATTGGTGCTGGCTGGCGGTTTTCTTTTGTTGCTTGCACTTTTTCCTTGACGCATTGAAGAATCACAGGCCGAATGCAAAGAATAATAGCCTTCACGAAGGAGGTCAACAGGCAGGAGGCAGAAGAGTGTTGAGTTCGTGCACAGAGTACGTACCTGAAAGAGCATGAGGTAGAGCGATGCATTCGTCCTGCTCACGTTGCCATGTGAACTCTCAAATTCGCTTACAAAGTTTGCGGGGATGGATCTCCCAGTCTCATGGAGGCTTTGGAGCAAATTCTGTATCCTCCTAACAAGTTCGACCTGTGAGATGGAGGTGTTTCCATAAAATGCTAGGATGTAACGCGTAAGCAGCATGTCCGGTTTTCACGCCCCGCAGTGATCAGCAACTCACTGGTCATAATTTCTCCAGTAGCACGAGCGATTTGAATATTAATGATAAGTGGGAGTGGAGGTTGGAAACCAGCTGCCGGCTTTGGTAGATCTGCCCTGATCTGCCTTTCATCAACCCCCATCGGCAGACCAAGACCAGCAGAGAGACGACTAAAAGCTGTTAGTAACCCGAAGACAATATCGTGGCCTTGGATCATACCGGTCAAGCATGTATGTCGTCCACCAAACGCGATTGCGATGACATTTCTCAGAAGAGAGACCTTCTTGTTCGTCACGGGGTAAAGCGCACCCCAATGCTACCGCCAAGCGGACGGCGATTCCAATCTACCCGTTTGTCAGTAGGGTTCGAAAATCAAACAGCAGTGCTTCAAGATTAAAAGTCATACATATAGGTATGCGTCATGTTTCCGGTCAGTCCACTGAAGATACAAGCTTGCCAGGCAGAGTATCTCAACGGAGGTGATGCCGTGGGCACCCAGCTCATGTGATGGAGGAAGTCTTCTCATGGCCTCTGCGAAGTAGGCACTTCCAGGAGGCGTCTCCAGATTATCACTCGGAGACCCAATTAGCATCCCCATAGCCATAACCAGCAGGTAGTGTGTGAACCACATGGTTTGCATCTGCGCGTTCCGCACAGCTTCGTTTGTGTACAGCAAATCAATCGAATCCGCAAAGCTTCGTGGATCAAGAAAATGCTGATTGATGCCCATCAGAGACACAAAAACATCGAAAAGCCTATGGGACTCAGTCTTCGATAAGAACACAGGTTGTGCTGTATCATTGACCAGCTCCGTTGTGTTCCGCCAACGACTGCCAGAGCCGCTCTCTGCAATCGAATCAACCACGAGGCTAGGGGCATCAGTCGAACTTCCGGAACCCCAATAGTGGCCCACATGTTCTCGCATAATTGATCTCACACGCGACTCGAAAGCAGGCCCGGGGGCCAGCTCGGTAGCTACACAAAAATTAACGGGATTGCAAAATCAGGGGAACGTAGATGAAAGAGAAACCAACCTGGGCTGAGTGAGAAGTCTCCATGAATGCTGTGTGCAATATTTTCAGGGGCTGCTCCCTCAGTCGTAGTCAAAGCTTGCGCAGGAGAGGTTTGCAGAGATGCTGATGGGCTGGATTGAGGGGGGTGTGCTATTTTATGTTAGCTTACATACCAATGGCAGCATGCAATCAAAGGTTGGTGAGTACTTACTTGGAGGTCTGCCATCCGACTGCTCCTCGTGCTGCTTAATGGTGTCTAGAAGACTCTGGACATACCTACAAATACAATTCCATCAGAGAAGTTCGGTGCCGCTTAACAGGAGATGGAACCCACGCTTCAGAATAACCGCGTCTAACACGAGTGCCAAACACACATTGCAAGCCCTGGCGATTGCAAGTATGACATGGCTGGTGACCTGAGCATTTCACCTTTCTCCGTCGACACGAGTCACATCTATGCTAAAAGTCAATTGAAAAGTTCCATTTTCGGAAAACCAGCTGATAGGCGTGCGCCCTTCCAATGGGAGGGCGGGATTTTATAGCAACGGCGGGGGGGCATGTGAAAAGTAGGGCATCATCATACATACGCGTTAGCAGAGCGGGTGAAATGCGAAGACCCGGCCGGAGGCATTGGTTATTCTCTGGGTAATTAGTTGATGGCCAGCACTTGGTGCGTAACAACGCCTCGACCCTTTGCGTGGGCGCACACAGCAATCGCGTTCTTGAGATGAGCCAGACTTTCTGCCGCTGATCGGCCTTATTCCGATCCTCGGGCGAAGCGGAGCCAGTCACGTGCTTTGCCGCTCAATCAGGTTTATCGATTATCACATAACCGACGTCAGCCGGAAATAGCCGACCTTCTTCATACCCTAAACACGCTCTGGGATTTCAAAAGAAGCTCACGCAAGTCAACTCGCTACTAATATTAGTCTTCATAAGGATCGATCTAAGCTTATGTACATCTTTTTCTTGCTGGAAAGGTCAAAAAGAAACAGTATGGATCGTAGGGAATAGATTTCCTAAAAGTAGTAGTACTTTGAAGATCCAGTAAGGAAAGAACGGTACAGGTTGTGAGTTGATTCCTTTGATTAAGGTAACTATGAATTTCAGACAATCCTCTTAATGAAGCAGATTAAGCTATTCTATGTTGTTAGCACATGACTACGCTAGACGTACAACACATTTATCCTTGGCAATAGGTTCAGACGTTAGTTATAGTGGTTCAGGGAAGCTCGGTTATGATCCGAGAACGAAGCGGGATCCCACACTGCCGTGAGAACAGAGATTCAATTTGTATGAATAGATATGTGCTTCTATCTCGCAAAAAAGATAGGATGATCGTTCACGTATTTCCTACTCGGCGGGAAGGTCACCCCTTTCCCGAGCCTTCTTTACCTCCTCTTCGTATTTGGCAACAGCAGCATCATAAGCGGACGAGTCATCATCCAATTTGGCATTGGCCAACGAGGAGGCCGCTTGCTTTCCAACTCTCCGAACTACCTCGTAATAGACATTGGCGAGAGCTTCACAAACAGATTTGAGGCTTTGGCTCTTGCATTGGTAATACAAACTGAGGAAGGCATCTTTGTTAGTAGCGTACTTTGATACCCTGTCATTGAAGAAAGAGGAACTCACTCTTTCTTGAAGTTATTATCGATTTTCAATTTATTGGCCGTGGTGAAGCGGGTTTGCTTCTTGTAGTTGCGGTATCCAAAGTCATGACGGTAGCAAGCAGGCTAAAACCGTTAGTGCACGAATGGTGGAGCTCGGGGAGCAATGGGTACCTCAAATGGAAATCCAAAAGGGTTGTCAGGAGACCAGGAGCAGTTGTCTGAAGACCAATCTAGCGTAGGGGGGTTCTTTGCATTTCGGCGAGTAGTAAATGCCGGAAGAGTGATGCTGAACAAAATCTGGTCTGTCACATCGTTTTGTCGAGTGACAAGACCCTCCTCACTGGTGGGAGCGGCCACCACAGCTGTGGTGAAGGTGAAAGCGAGGAGAGTAGCGAACTTCATGATTTCAATGAGGCAATGGATATCGAGATCGTTAATTTTTTCGAGTGATAAGAAGAGCTGTGCTACGATATAAGATGGGAAGTACATCTATTTAATTAAGCCGCTCGCCAGGCTTACCGAAGTAAGTTCTGGTTGATTTTCATAAATGAAGAGAATCAACCCTGCTGGATCAGCCTTGGCGGGACAAAGATGCCTGTTCTGGATAACTGTGCGATCGCCCCATGAGTGAGGGCTGATGAACGTGCGTTTCATCTTCTACTAAAGTTGGCAAAGCTGAAAATGATCACCCCGGCCATCACGCTGATCGCGAGCTTAATTGGCCTCGGCCCCATCCTAAAGCGGGCACCGGCTTACTTAAAAGCTATTATGCAGCACGAGATATCATTCTTCGAAGTTCATTCGAGAAGATCTGCTCATATGGTCTGTTAGACGATCGTTGGATTAGAGCTGATGTGTATGTTCGCTTTCCTCATTGGTTCGCGCCTGGATCGGAAGATCAACGCCCTGAGGGCGCTTCCATTCAAAACTGTTGCTTTTGCCCACCACCGTATAAGGCCACTAATGCCGGAGGTGGCTCGTATTTCGCGTTTGAACAGCGTTGGATTGCGCATTACCAGACCTTCTGGCCGTTTTTGCGTTGCGGGAAGGAGAGGGGAGATCCGGTTATTATGAGGGCTGCCAGCGGTTAAATTCCTACGAGGCAGATTGATGGCGCAGAAGGAAAAGAATTCAGTCACAATTATTGACACCCCTGTCTGCATACATAGATCGTGCTTAAGTTTTCGGATTGGGGGCTTCATTTTTTCTTGTTTTCTTCGTGCTTTTGGACACATATTGTCGTAATTATGTGACATCCTCCGTACATTGTCGGCCGCGTCATCTGTATGAGGGCGGCGCACTGGATCACAATGCCAATGGCTGAGGGACGCGCGTGGAGAATTTCTTGCAAAAGATGATAACCTGCTCTGCAAATCGATTTTCTTTCCTGTAATCTAGTGGAGGTTCCATTTTCTTTCCCAGCCCGCAAAGAAAGGACTCTCATCCAATGTTGCCGGCTCCCATTCTGGCTTCATTAAGCCCTGAGCAATCTGGTATCGCTCGTACTCTTCCAACATTGGCTTCGCCACATGCTCTACATGCCACGTACCCTTATATTTCATAATCCCTTCGTTCCCTTCGTTTAGAATCTTGAGAACAAGAGAAGGAATATATGGCTCGTCTTTAAACTCTGAGAGAGGAGTAAACAATGCCTTGAAATTGAACACGATCGCACCCGATAAGGGCAGCCGGCGCAAAGTCTGCCAATCCACGCGCAGATGTACCTCATCAGAGCGTAGGTCCGGTCGCTGGTGCTCTCTGTGCTCGACGGCTTCACTTCCTGGGGGAAGATAGAGAGGCTGACCCATCTCGAGTCCCCACGACCCTCTCTGAATTGGGCCACTGGCTGGCATCTTGGTAAAGAACCTGCATCAAACGTTAGAAATCCGTCGACTTGGTAAGTTTACCCCCGTATGTAATTGTCCACTAACCTGTCCATGCTTAATTCCATCTTCTCTTTGTAGTCTGGTACACGCTTATGAATGGCAGGCAGGCCCAAGCCTATCTTCTCGCCCAAGTTCCAATCAACGGATGAGCAAATAACGCCGGCTCGGAGCACATAGCGACCTGTTTGATGGTCTCTCAAACTTATGCCAAAGTCTTCCGGGACATTATCCAACAGGACGAGTAAAGGATCCTTCGCAGAAAGGTCGTCTTTTGTGCCGAGAACATGATTGATAAAAACATTGCCCTTCAGCTGGAAACAATCAGGATATCTGATGGAGATGAACTGCAATACCATCTCCATGAGTTCTTTGCATGCAAGCTCCGACCCGGGAAGGGCCTGTAGGACATCTTTTCCGTGTTGCGCAAAAAGCTCTTGTCGCTGCCGAACGCGGTCGCGATATGTGCTTTCCAGCTCAATCCAGAAGTCTGTTTCCAGTTTCTTGAAAGCTGTTATTGTCAGTGGTGGTATACCAACGTCTCTGCTGCAGTCCTACATACACATGGTTTGGTGATATGACCATCGAAAAGGTCTATAAGGTCTGGGTAATGCCTTATCAATATCGAATTGCTTGAGAGGTGTCGGGTGAGGAACCCCGGAGAGTTTGGAATAGTCCGGGAAGTTCCCAAGCGCCTTAATCTCCGCTACCGTGAATCCGCTGTAAATGTAAGAAGAAGAGGGAGCGGACAGGTAATTCGCGTCTAGTGGGAGGACTGGTCTGGGCGAGACAGATAAGTCACGTCCCGGCGAAGCCACTGGAATCAATTGCCCAAGAACGGGCCGTTGACTTGGTGGAAATACCATAGAGTAGTCCGTGTCGGAAAGCTTTTTAGAAGAGTCTCGCGATGAAGATTGAAGAAAAGAACGAATATGATAGAGTGCCTTTGGCTTGTACAGAAGAATGTGAAGCAAAACGACGAAGCCACCAACACATGCTACCAGACTGACCGTCGCCAGGGTCGTCCTTGGCGAAGAAATCGCACTAACGATGTCCATGATATGCAATAACGATGGCGAGTTTAAAGTGTGAAAGAAAGGATTAGGAAGGGTGCAGAACAAATCTCGGCGAAAGGAGGACTATATCATCATTTTGGATGTCTTATACGCTTGCCATAGGCCAGGCATGAAATGATCTGCGGGTGACGATATGACCTCGCTCCCTATCTCACACCTTCGGGTATGAATCCCCGAACGGGACAAGTTTGGAGAGTGAATCTAAAAGGGGGAGAAAACGCGGGGTAAGGATGGGCCGTGTGATAGATGTAGGCACTGTTGATTGGCACTAGCAGCCGGACTATCACACATCAGAGATAAGGCGGCGTGTCGATTGTCCAAGATCAGGCATTTGTTCCATTCCTTACCGGAGGTGGCCGTATCAGCAGTTTTGACGGGCATTGACGATAACCTGGGGGGCATTCCACCTCCCGCTGCCATCTTTCTGATGTAGCAGGTGGTATTATCTGTCTTCCTCCGCAACCGGCTCGTCGTGTGCGACATGTGTGCGAAATCTGACAGTGGCAGGCACTTTAATGGTGTCTCAAAGGAATTAATTATGGGACCGAGGCTGAGATTATGAGACAAAAAATGATGAAAAAATTTCTAGTCCGTTAATCGGAAAATGCAGGATGTTATGGAAACGGAGAAATAACAAGCCTCTTCTACATTTTGTCCCATGTTTATTTAGAAGCAGCGAGCCCGCCCCAAGTACTCTCGCTATAACCCGTACTTTGTCCCAACGTTGGAGACTTATTATGTGCATAGCTTTGCGTATTTCTGTTGAACAGTTTGGTCATCTTCCCGACGATGTTGCGGCCAAGTCCATTTTCATAGATATGCACTCTCGTAGAGCCAAGGTTACCAGGACGCAGCATGTTTCGGCATTAAATGCTGTAACATGTTTTGGTAAGTTTATCTTATCAAAAGACTTGATTGGTTTCCCCATTAGTGTCTTTACTCCATGAAGATAGAGTTGATTTTTCATATGACGCCTGACTAGACCCTAATATTCTTTCTCAAATGGTAAATAAACTAGCTACTAGTTATGCTCGAGATATTATAAGTAGAATAAAATATGAGAGTTTCACACTTATGTCACTCAATTTAGTATTAGAATTTGAATTAAACTCTACAAGGCAGGCTTATCGTAGTGTTAATGAGTGAGGCACACCATGATGGTGATGGTGATGATGATCGTGGTGTTGTGGCTGTGATACTTGTTGTCAGGAAACGGATTCGGTGATAAATCAAAGCTATCCAACCTTTTATCGATGATAGCACTATATCATCATATCTAATTCCGCTGCTCTCATCATGTCTGACGAATTGTCCAGTCTTTCATTTCGAGATTGCCCTGGTGCCATATTAGAACTCGAGGCCCACCTCGAGTTTAGCGGGAAACCAATTTCGGAGGCTGCGCTTGCTCCACCACCTTGGGGATATGTATAATTCTTATGTACTGTGCATCGGGGATGCCTTGTAAAACGTTAGTCTATCGTTGAGGGGTATTGCTGAGGAATCGTGAAGTATCCTGGCAAGTGGGCGTCGGAATAACAGGGACTGCAAATGTGTGTTAATCCGAGATCCTGATAGACAATAGTTAATAACAATAGTATTAGATTATTGAGCACTTATTAGGCAATGTTATCTGCTTCATATTACACAATAGGAAGCATTGTTTTGTGACTGACTGCCACAATAAGTCTGCAGAGGTGACTTTGCAGTCCCTGCTTTTCTGGCAGCCACTTGCCCACCTTCTTCGAACGTCACTATTTTTAGAAGTTTCTGGCTATTGAAATCTGTTTTAGTAAACTTAGGGTCAAAATGGATAGGGGTCATTAAATGAGAATTGATTTAATATATTGATGGTCTCTTAGTACACTAATGGGAATCAGAGCTTCGGACGCTCGGAGATACTGAGAAGTTGAGAAGCTTGCGTGCTCCCGGGGACAGTTTCTCCAGTGATTATCTCAAGGCAGGGTAGACCTATTGATAAGTATTTATGAGATGGCGGACCTTCGACGGCCTCAAGGATCGACACTATATGTTAATATTCGATCCTCTTCATCTCTCTAGCCTCGAAGGTGATTCCTGGCGCTGTGATTAAGAATGCAGCTTTACATTTTGGTGCACTTGTTGCCTATTCGTCCGGTGACAAGTAGGGCAATATCGTGCTGAGCGGGACACCTTTCAGGTATGGTGGGTAAAATGAGGATTCAACCCATCAGAAACATTCTGTACTGGCCTTGATGATTCCTCCGAGGATCCTTGAGTTGAGTGCGACGACTCTAACCAATTTACTCTTCTCGTAGTCTTAAATTATACCCAGGGGTGATTCAGTCGCCCTTGGCTGCCAACTTTCTAGAGTTGGCACAAGCATGAACATGACTGACTGCAAGGGTTTTGATGCCACTCCGAGTCAAGTCACGTCTTTGACCCAACAATATACTCCCCGTGGCAT